TTGTTTACGTATGTTAATATACTAATATAAGTTTGTCCAAAGTAGACAATTTAATGAAAAAAGTTAATTCTACATAGGATTAGACTTTTTTAGTGATTTGCTGAATTTCATTTTGCTAGAAATATGCTCTTTTCTATATTAAACGTATACAAGGCACGAGTCTTGTTTACATTATGAAGAACTTTAAGTTCTGTATCCCGTTTGTTGATCAACAAATGATGTTCAAAATTTTGCTGATCATTGCATGATGCATTAGTTAGAAATTGCAAACATTAAAATTGGTTTAAAAAATTAAGGTGAAACCGTGTCCATGCCCCTTTAGGGACAGAGATGATACAAACAAACATGTCCAAAAAAATTGAAAATAACAACGTGGATCATGTTTAAAAAGAATAAGTTTCACTTTGTAGTTTTTAATTTCTTATTCAAAATTGCACTAAAATTGGATTTGAAGTAAAAAATATTTGTGTAGATTTATAAGGATGGTTTCAGAAGGGCAGACTTTTGAACATCACAGAAGGTTTACAATTTCTTTATATTCTAGAAATTTGTTATTTGCATTATTTACAATGAAATTAGGCCAAAAAATATATACCAATCCAGGCATCCAGTTTTTGTTTGTATCATCTGTCCTTAAATTTGTTTTTAATGACTCCTGCCATGTTGTTTCAAGTGCCTGATAAAGAAATAAGTACTTGAAATTTGAGATTAATCACAGTTATCCCATGGATATAGTCGAGTTTACTGACAAATGAAAAATAATATGCAAAATATTATCCAACCATTTATGTGATATCTACAGTTTATTAAGAGTAGATTCATGTATGACTTTAATTGTAATGTAGAGTTAAACAGCATATAATCATTCTTGTAACAAAAAAAATTTGGTTGCCCCGACTGACTAAAAATGGACGCATTTATTTTTTACGTTCCGGGACACGGTATATTTTTCTTTGATTTTTTTATCTTACAACATGAAAAAATATGTTGAATTTTTCTGGAAAAAATATTTTCCCACCTACCTACAGGTCCAATAATTTTACTTTAAGTCGAGGGATTGGAAACGGACCAAACTTGAACAACTTTCAATTCAAATAAACAGGTTTAAACAAAGGGAAAGAGCAAAATTAACACCTGTTAAATCCACCCTTTTCTCTGCCTCCCGTGTTTCTTTGATTTGTAGAAGGACAGCGTTAGCTATAGGAATCATCATGGCGGTGGTGGCTGTGTTGCTCATCCACATCGACAGGAACCACGTGGGTAACATCATTCCAAACATCAACCTGGAAAGGGATATATTTCACAATACACAATATTCAACACGTGTATGTAGCTAAATGACAATCAGATTTTCTTTTGAAAAGTGAAGCAAAACACAATGTACTAGTATACAACTTTTTGATCTAAAAAATGAAATTAAGACAATTTCTATAGAAAATTTAAAACACTGTATAGTTACGCATTTAACAGTTTCTGTAGATATTAAATGAATCAATTCCAAATCTTACACACTTTTACTCTATACACTGAGAGTCATATGAAAGGCTTAAATCACATTAATAAATTAATGTGGATTTTTTTTTCAAGGCACCTATAACTGAGTAACAAACATTATATAAAATACAAAATATAAAAAAATAATATAAAGTTATCAGAAACTACTTTTCAGATTAATGTTATTTTTTTTTGTAATTGCCTCAATCCCCCAAACAATATACAGGCCATTCATATAATATAACACTTGCGCTAACTATACTTGCCATCTTGGTTCCGATCCTACAAGCATGAGAACTCTTAGAGCAAGACGTTTATGTATACCCCAATGCTCAATGGCAGTTGCCACAATTAATCCTCCAATGAAGAGAGTCGATGTATCCTGAAAGAGAAGGATTGCTAAAATGGCCAATAAACTTTTAATTTGAGAAAAGTGGATTTATATCAACTGTGTCTCAATTAACTCATGCTTATGGCATGGAGCTTATTGTATCATTAGAAGCTGTCCTTTATGCATAACTGTCTGAAACATACATTGACGTATGCGCTAGATACATCCTTTGCATACATAAGCCCAACCATTGGAAATAGTATTAGGGGTAGTAATGACGTCACAGCAATGGGCAGGGCTTCCGTCAGCCAGAATACCGCCATAATGATAATGACAAAAGCACATTTTGCCTCCTATAAGCAAAAAATCACCGTATTTTGTCTAAAATATATTTTATGATATTGTTATATAAATATATACATTTTTAAACAGTCGTATATTTTATACATAAAAGAAATTCGATCAAACAAAACTTAAGTTCATATAGCAATTTATACGATCGAATGAAATTTGTATACCGTTTAGCCGAAATGAGCTCATTTATTCTTTAATTCTAGTTTAATACGAGGGTTGTCACAGCTTCTATCAAGCGTTATCAACAAAATTTTACATGCTCATATTCCTATCTATTTTAATTCTCACCTTAAACTTCATTTGTTTTCAACAGTTTTAAGAATATGAAGATAAGCATAATATTAGGTTTGATTTTAGTCGAACGGCAGAAATGTTAATGTGGTAACACCGCTATGTTGAAACTTTTCAGAACTCATTTCAATTTTTTCGCAGGTCAATTTGACGTGTGACATGCTTCATTTTCTGTTTTTACTTTAATTTGTGCTATAAGGCGTGTTCACGGTGTTGTTTTGGATTTTTAGAATTATTTGAATTCCGTCTTAATGATTTTATCTTCATTCAATCTTTTTTTGCGTATAGATCTCATGCAACGCCTGATTCAAGAGTAAGTCAATGACTTTTTTCTACCTCAGTTGAAAAGTTTGATACATTGAAAAAAGTCAAACTTAACTTTGAAAGTTTGATACATTGAAAAAAGTCAAACTTAACTTGATAAGTAACATGAGAAATTTGTAACAGTAGTAAATACAAAAATTGCTTTAAAAATCAATGTAAATTGTGGTCAAAAGATGTACAGGTGCAGAAAAAACATGTGCTTGACTAGCTTATGAGCCTAATTCTCGTCATTTCCTATGAAAAATACCTGTACATGTATGCTTCTCATAGAAAGCTAAAATAACTTTAATGAGGTTCATAAAAAATAAACGCCATGCACATGTTTGGAGTTCACACGTCAAGATAAAACGTGTACTAGAAATTGAGTTTCAAAGAGGGGTCTATTATTTTGAATCAACCCTCGTAAACATATACAAAGAAACGTCCGTTGTTGCTTCTTTTAACATGTAAATTTTCTGATTAAATTATAGTTTTGAAATAATTTTGTTTTTATCAGAATTGAAAAAATTATGTATTGAGAAAATGTTTCAATAAATATATGTTGAAACATTTAACATGTTTAGGCTAAAAAAGTTTTATAGTACTTACGTTTCCATCCACAGCAATAATAAGTGGCAATAAAACAATGGGAGTTAAGACGACAATGAATATATTCCTTGTATATTTCAGAAACCTAAAAATCGTATGCACTACAGACGGCATGGCAGCAATTAATCAACCTGATCAAGGAATGTTCAAATTTAAGTTTGTTGTAAATATGCTCTGCTAAGATTCTTGTTGCATCGTAATGTGATGCAAGCATCCTTTGATAAGACAAAAATATAGTGTACGATCTAGAGTAGGTTAATAGTGATAGCTCTCACTGGTGATAGCACTTGTTTGAATCCTGAGAATGAGTTGGTAAATAAAAATAATCAAAAGAGGTAGTGAATACAAATAATTGTTAATGAGTTGAAAACGTTGAGAATGAGTTAAACATCGCATTAATCAGAAATCATAATTTAGCCAGGGTAATATTTCAAATTGTATATTAGTTCATCGGATAATTGCCTATTTCTGCAAACTATTGCTGTAAATATTTGCAAAGGTCATTTATAGTTAGCGTAGACTTAAAACCGTTTGAGTTCTTGAGCATCAATTTCGAATATGTTATATACATTAATTTAAAATTAACTCTGTAAATTAACGACATATCGTAGATTAATCTATTAAGAGGTCCTATTATTGTATATTTGTCTACCCGTTGATATTTTGATTTGATAAATCCGTTAGGTTAATTATATTCGTACATACGAAGATCGAAAGCAGTAAATATTATCATAGTGCTAACAAAGATTACAGCAAAGGGTGAGACAAAGATAGGAGGAGGATACAGGTTAGACGGTGAGTAGGCAGTGAACGAACAGAAACTCTTGAACTCTAATTCAGAAATGGAGAGAATGCGGAAGTTCCGAGGATGAATAACTGTGAGAAGAGACACTTTGTTTGGCCTACAACGCTCTAGGGCGTCTGTAGAAAATGCGTTTTTTCAGTGTCTACCTCTGAATATGAAGTTCTCGGTATACATGATATACTCTTGGTCTGAAGTTTTTCGTACCCAAAATACGATATTTGCATTGTATATGAATATTTTGAAATCATAAATCTGCTGAAGTAGAAGATAAACATAGAATCCAACAGTTAATGAGTTCAACTAGTGAGAGTAAACTTTAGAGAATCAAACTTTTTAATAGAAGAGTTATGCAATAGAATAATTGAACATTCAAATATGTTTATGACAATCATTTTTTTAACAATATGTGATAAAGCGTTTAAAGTAAAATAAGACCACAATTTATAAATGGAACTCAAGAAAGTGAATTCAAAAATTCGGAGATATCAAAATAATAAAAAGCAAAAGTTATAGAATAGATTGACTGATTTTCATTCTCAAATTTGAGATTCGAGCGTAAAAACTGACATTTAGAGTTGTAGAACGTTGTACTTTTTCATTACATTATGTATAATTTAATATGTTAGTCTAATGACAATAATTTAACTCTGTTTGATACGAAGGAACAAAAAAGATAAATAGAGAACTGTAATTTATTTACATTTTGATTGACAATAGGAAACATTAGAAAATGTCATGCATATAAACATAGATTTCAACCAGAAAAATTGAACAATTGAAAGATATAATCAATTTTGCACCTACAGTGGGGTATGATTTTAGTTCACGAGTTAACTGACAAAGCTAAGTGAGGAAATGACGAAAGTTGTTAAAAACTGCACGCTTTTCACGCTGGCCGAATGCCAATTCGAATTGCAGAGAGATCTTGGGGACTCACGGAATAGTACGTTTGAAACTTAGGAACTAAATTGCTTAAATTGTTCATGTTGTTTAAATAATGACCCTAAGTGGTAAACATATAGGATACGATCACAGTATAACAGTTCTGCATAGAAATATATCACGAATATTGCAAAAAGTTTATAAAAATATCCTTCTTAAAAACAGCAAAGCTGTATGATTAGTCATATGAATACAGAAGCATAATCAGATGTAAATTTAAGTGTCTTCCAAACTTGAAATGTTGTTGTGTCCACAACAGGATATAAATTAAATACATATTGAGTTAAATGGAAAAAAATAGAATTTAAAACATTGCTTTAAATAACAAGACCATGATTATTTAAATCAATAGGGAATATTTATTCTGGGGTATTGTAAAATTGTCTATTCAATTCATCACCCCAGATAGAACTCATGGTACATGTAAATATGTAAATGAGATAATTTCAAAATCTTAAACTTTTCAATTCTGAAACTTTTTTTCTTTTCTCTTGCAGTAGCTAATGTGCTCAGGTATGTGATGTGGCATATAATTTATAGTGATAGAGATGTATATTGAAAGCATTACTTTATTTCATTTTTACTTTAATATTGCACATTTCTGTAAAATTATCGACCACTAAAACGTAGTTCCGTTTAATGAAGAAATTGTTGTCAGGTATGTTGAAGTGTTCATAAAGGCTGTTGTGAAGTTTTCAAAACTCGTAGTATCATTCCTTGTTTTAAAGGCATTAGGAAGCGTGTGGAATCCAAATATTGCTTCTCCCCAGGTTTCAGTTCCGAGAACTAATACCAAGACAGCAATTATGTTCAATGGAAATCCAGCTATAACCTAAAATTTAAAACAAAATTTTATGCGAAATGAAAAAACCAAAACACATAGGTCATTAACAATTATGTTATTAAAAACAAGCATGAGAAAATATGTCCAGTTTTAGAAAAAATAGTATTCTTCTTGAAATTTTACAGATTAAAGTTGACTACCGAGTAACTTACCATGTCTAGAACCCGCACAAACCCATAAGAAAAGACAACTGCGTTCGGGGGAGTGGCAACAGGAAGCATGAAAGCAAATGATGTAGCAATGGCCGTAGGAAACATGAAATAAAGTGGGTTAACTTCAAGCGTAACAGCCTGTATAAAAATAATAAGTACTTGATACAGTCTATTCAAAATTGTTCACACAATATTCAAAATAATTAAACCATATATATTTCCTTGTCATAAATTTCTCACTTTCTTAAATGTGCAAAACAAAAAAATAAGATATCCCTAATGTTAATAATCTTTTAAAAATCTTTAAGAATTCAATTTAGCATTTGTAGAGCAATCAGGCATAAGTATTTTGTAAAACATTTAATTATGGTTGTAACGATGTATTTGATTGGATAAAAAATTATTTTATATCGTATAAAATGGGTTGCCTACGTCACAATGACTTGCGTCAAAAACGTATCAATCCGCCTGACGTTATTACATTCAAATTTTGCACAAATTGAAGTCATTTTGTTAGAACAATAATCTTTTATTCTTACATCAAATGAATGAAAATTAAATTATAAGGAATGAATTTAATAGCTACCCATTTTATACGGTATAAACTGGGTTGGAACAGTTTACGCTTTTTTATAAACCGCTTCGCGGTTTATAAAGCGTAAACTGCCCCAACCCAGTTTATACCGTATAATATCGGTAGCTATTAAATTCATTCCTTAAATAACTTGAATTTTCCAAATCTCTAAGCTTAAAGTTTGTTATTACCAGTTCTTTCATAATGGGCATCATCAGGGTACATATTGCAACATTACTTGTTACTTCTGTGGCAGCAGCAACCATTAAACATAAATTTAAGTTCATCAGCCATAGATCAAAATCTTTAAATACAGTTAATTGTTCACCTATTAATTTCGATAATCCCGAGTCCTAAAATGGAAAAATAAATAACAATATACAGTGTGCAAGAATAATACATCTAATCAATTTCAATTTAAAGCACGGTTTAAATATTATTAGCATTAAGCTGCTAGCACTTAATTAATATTTGTCAATATAATTTTCCCAAAAAAAATAAAGAATATTAAAAAAAATAAGCTTAAAAAATGTAATTTTGAATTAATTTCCCGTTTCATAATTGACAAAAATACAAAGTGGCATCTAGAAGTATTAAACACTGTGTCAACAAACTTTAAAAGACTTAGGTAGAAATGCTCCTTAATATAAATAAGATCGTAATATGATAATACTGATAATTAAAGTATTGAATGAAACGAAAGTATAGGCATTATAATACAGTGATTTATTTCATACCTGACTTCCTTTTGCTATAGCAAAACCTCCTCCAATCAACAAAACTATTCCCCACGGAACCTTTTTCTCCGCTGCCTTCCAAGATAGAAGAGGAGGTAAAGGTTTTCCCTTCTCTGAAAGTATGATAACTGAAAACTATCAACCCATTAGTCAGAAAACAACCATAGCACTAAATGAAGAACTAGTAATATCTTGTGCAAATATTTTTCAAATACGTATGTGAGTTTATATAGTTCATAAATATTTGTCCTTAGTTCTCAGTTCCTAGACATATTGGTTTATCACAATTCTCATTGAATTTTGTGGATTCATTTTCTCTGTATGATGCAATACGTATAGGTATTCAAATGAACCTTTGAATGTGTGAGGTAAAACAGAGGGAAATAGAAAAAGGCTGATGGCGACAAGAATAGCCGGTGTGGAGTCAGTTACGGTTCTGAAAACAGAAAACATAACAATCTACGGAATTTATCATGTACAAGAAGAAAAGAAATTTTAAGAAATTGAAAACTTATTATATAAATCTTTTCAAAGGTTAAGAAAATGATCGTTTCAAGGGAAGCAAAATTGCGATTTGATAAACAATCGAAACTCAAATGAACCTAGCAAAAAGAAAGCTATGAATATGACATAAATTATTGAAAACCATGTATAGATGCACCTTTGTCTTAAGATAACAAAGCTGATAAAGTACGGATTATACTAGTAATTACTTTTCTGGAAATATATCACCCCATCCTCCGACTCCCCCTAAGTCTCTGGTGACCCACAATAATGCTAGCATTACAAAGTGAACTATCACTGCTCCTTGTCCAAATCTACGAAACAAAAATGAGATAATTACATGTATGTTGTTTACTGTGCTTCCCGAAAAATTAATGTATATATGCGCACATACAGGTTCTTACGTGATTGGTCCAAGCTCTTCATATTCCTTTCTTATAACATTTTTCACTTTCTTTGATTGCTCAGGGGATTTTCTATTGTAAGTTCTTTGAAAAACAAATTAAGAATTTATAGTTTGTCTCTTTTAGTGAAATTTCTGCCACTGCTTAACATATTATACATGTCATTGTAACTGGTCGTTATTTCTTTAAATTTGAAAGAGTACAAGTATATGATAAAACAGGACAACATAACAGAATGGAATATTTTTTGCAATTACATATATTTTCTAATGGCAATTCAGCATTGTCAAGCTTACTTGCAGTGTAGAAACAGGACCTGGAGCCATGCCCAGACAAAGATAACCAATATGGCGGATATCGGTAAACAGTACTGCATCCACGTTGTAAAGGTAACTGGGGATTGGACATTTTTCTCTTCAAAAGCACTGTAGAATTAAGAATAATTTTGTATACACGCTGAAAGATTTGATTATTCTCTCTTTGCAGATGGTGTTGTGCACAAAAGCATTTTTACAACAAATCTATATTGCATGCACTCCCTTTTATATATTAACAATATGCGTACTGCATAGTTAAATTGCTTATACTACTAAAAGAATTAGAATATGTTTATCAACTGATGTTCAGAAGGCATAAAGAAAACAGATAAAAACAGAATTTGATCCTTCTAAATAAAAATCTACAAAGAATAAAAACTTGTGAACAGAGCATTTCAACCATGGAAATTCAAAACGTGGGATCGTGTGCCTAGGAGGAATGATGAGCTTGACCTGTTGACAAAACTTTCTGTAGTTAACTTTAGAATAAATCCAATGCCTTATTCCTTACTCAAAAACTCATTTATTTTCTAAATTCAGCCAAAAGGCAAAAAAAGTTTTTAAATATTGTGCTTACGTGTCTGCAGCCCCTTTCATGACAATGTTAGGACCAGTTCCGGTCAGGCTAGCCACTCCCCCACAGTTAGCGGAGTAAGCTATTCCTAACGACAGTGCCTTACAGATACGTGAGAACTCTGCATTTTCCGCTTTTTCTTCGTCAGCTCGTTTCTTTGAATTTTCTCTCCTTTAAGAATGGTAATAATTCGCTTTAAATACTAAAGACTTTAAAGTAACTAAAACTCAAAACTTTGGAAGTACGAGGGCCGTTCAAAAATTACGCAGACTGTGCTATTATTTACTCTTACAGACGTCATATACTTATGAAATTTCACAGAAAAATGGATCTTTAAGATTCCAATAAATTTTGGGCAAAATTTCTGTATTTTAAAACAATTCTACTAAAATTATTGGTATGTTGATATCGCTGATGGAGAGGTACGGAGCACGACAAAAATTTGAAGCAAAAGCATGCGGAATCAAAAATATAACTCATTAATTTTCTAAAATTCGCGATATTTTTCGACAATTTTCTCAAATGTATCGTTAAATTGTTCTATTATTATGTATTTAGACTTCTGACGTGATATTTGAAGTATTAACAGAAATATAGTGATTTTTCTCTGATGCGATTCCCGTGAAAATGACGTCTCCTGAATTGACGGCGCACCACACTTTTGTTAAATTATGTGTAATGCTCGAGATATCGCCAACATAGATCCAAAATATGCATAATAAAACGTAGTAAACTAGAGCATTCGTGACTTTCGTCCTCAAATAGCAAATTGAAATTTTAGACCGTTAGACCTATGTAAAAAGGCTTTACGGGAGTACTGGAAGAAGATTATATCGACGAAAACTTTATTCGAATTGTAAAGAACGTGATTGAGAGTCACCAATATCATACTAAATTTCATAAATACCAGCATTTTTTGGCTTTAAAACAAACAAAAAAAACATTCTTGATTTGTTTAATAGATTTTAAGCTTGACAAGAAGTGGTGTTTGGATTTGAGTAGATAAGGTAACTTAAACTATACATTTACTCTTGGGAAAATTTTGAGAAAATGAAAGCTCAATCACATATTTAATTTCTTATAATGCCTGTGACGTCGAAGATTTTGCTGCTCCGTGACTTAATGATATGTCCTGAAAAATCACTCAAAATTGATACCAATTTACATCATTTTGATATGAAATTTTGAAGACCATATGAAAAGATATATTATGTGTGACATATATGTCGTCAAATATTTTTTCTGTGCAACATCTCCGAGAAATTTTTGAACGACCCTCGTAATGTAAACAAAACATATTTAATATGTAGGATTTTTAACAAAATTGTCAATCAATAGTTGTACAATATTGTAACTCACGACTGATTTTCTTGGTCATTTGCTAGGTTGCCATTAGAGCTATGTTTTGTGCCATTCTGTACAACTTTCAGTTCAAAATCAACCTCACCCTGGTCAATAGCTGTGAAGAAAACCATTGTTTAATTATAAAGCTTAATTCTTCAAAAAGCAGTTTAAAATAAGTTGGGAAATCGTCATTTTTCGTGAGGGAAACAATGTTCGATTATTTTGTCGGACATTTGTATCACTACGACAAATATTTTGTAAATCATTATTGAATATTCTGAATATACGAGTTACTCAAGGAACTGCGTTCATATGAAACTACAAAAACTTACCTTTTGCTCAACATCTTATGTCTAAATATGCTTATTGACAAATATGTTCATAATTGTTTTTCTCCTATTTTTCCTTCCATTTGTTGTCTTATTATTTTAAAGAGATTTTTCTTCTTCATTTGACATAAAGAATGATTAATATAATAATCTCAATGAACTTCTCCATTGATTAATTTGTTGAAGATTGTGAAAGTTTTTCTCATACGCAAATTATTTTTCCTTTCATTTACAGAATGCATAATTATAAAAATATTATTGTATTTAACAAAATACTCTAACAAAAAGAGTGTTAAACTGTTTGAAAACAAAGAAGATGAGGAAAACAACAAAAACCTATGGCTTCGTCCTTTTTCTCTGCCTCTCTTGTCTCTTTCATTGTGACCAGGACAGCGTTAGCTATAGGAATCATCATGGCGGTGGTTGCTGTGTTACTAATCCACATTGACAGGAACCACGTGGGCAACATCATCCCAAACATCAACCTAATGGGGGTAGATTTAAATATTTTAAATCTAAAATACTGCTGGCCTAATTCAGTCTCATGCAAAAATTAGGTTTCTACATTAAAGGATGATTTTTCCCTTTTTGTAAGTAACAATTAACTTGTTGAAATTTAATTTTTTTTAGGGGGAGGGGGGTTAAACAAGGAAAGGGCTTCTTTTTCAAGTAATTATGAAATATACCGAATGAACAAGTGGCTAATTATAAACAAATTTAAAAGTAATATACATATACATGTAGAGGTACCTAATGGAATTCGCGAGAAGCACTAACTTTTACAGTTGACGGTTTACTTCGACATTTTAACCTGTATCATGTACGAAGGTACAGACGTGATAATAGTTAAGAAAACCTTTCTAGTGGTCATAGATATGGAGTTAGGGGTGTGTTCCCGTTTTGCACACATTTAATAATTAGGTATGAACAATAGGTGTGAAGTGTGTTTTGATAGCAATTATAGTCTGATTTTTGGTTTGGATTTACCTGGATTTACCTGTGAATACCTGATTTAGCTTAATGTATTCTTAAGAGGTTTAATACAATTTTAAAAGCATTTTATTAAAATTCTATATATATTTATGGGAAAATATTTGATTTTATTGAATAAATTATTAACTATTTAATATTATTTATTAGTTAAGTCCAATTTCTTAAAATAAAAAATACTTTTCAATCTTGATAAAATTCTAAATGAATTAAAGATATAACAAATAATAAAGAAAATAGAGAATAAAAATTACTTTGAAAAATAAAGCTCAAGCCAAGAAGATGTTAAGGACCCTCTCTACACAAGTGCAAAATGTTTTTTGGACACAAAAAAAATATATTGTAAAATTTATATTTTTATCTATCTAATTTTCACTGTATGGTTTGTGGCATTTACCCCCGAAAAAAATGTCCAAAGACAACATGATATCAGTTAATAGAAATCACTGTTGTACTTCCATAGGGAAAGTACATGTAAATAACATGTTCAGTTAATTTATCCTGACCTTTTAAAAAAAATACTTGAAATAATTATGAATTACGTAATATACTGCAAATTTCTAATTTTTAGAATTTAGATCTAAGGGCAGATCACTCTAATTGCAGAAAAATGCCATATCAGAACTCTCTAGTGTGCAGTGTAGAGAGGGTTCTTAAGATTATCAGATAATTATAAGATCAAAGTGAGGATCCATGATTGCTGCTGATCCAAGCTGGTAAAATTTTAATTATTATAATTTTGTGTCTTTCAATGTTAGTAAATTGTAAATAACTTTGTATTTATTCTCTTATTTTTTCACTATAAGTTCACCTTTCACCTACTTACTAAGTATGGTATAGACTATAGCAATTAAGTAATTATCTTGTAAACTTCCCGTTTTGCACACATTTTTTAATTACCTGTAATTCAAATGTGTGCAAAACGGGAACAAACCGGAGTTAGGGGTAGTAGCATGTGAGGCCGGGAGTTGAGCGTAGGGTGGTTGTTTTTTCTTCAATGACAACTTATATGTGCATTAAAATAACTCGTTATTTTCGGTGAATAAAATAGTTGATCTAAATACTGTATACAGGGAAAATTTCGCCCCCGTTTTATTTTCGCCCCTTTCGCCCTCTTCTTGATTGGGCGAATTTAAAACGGGACGAATTCAGATTACACAGCATAATTTCTTAAACAGAACTATGAACTGGCGAATTTAAGTGCAAAAGGGCGAAAATAACACGGGGCGAAAATAACCCTGTATACAGTATTTATATCGTAAAATGGATTCCGTACATTTCGCTTGTGTAAAAGTAAGCCGTCAACTGTAAAAGTCAGCGCTTGTCGCAAAATTCCAATTTAATAACAAGCCAATTTAAAATTTAGACTTTTATTTATTAATTTTACAGCATATTTAATCTTCAAACAAAGAATGAACGCATGAATAAAATCAGAGATGATTTCATCCAACCCTCCCCCCCCCCCAAGAAAAAACATTTTTTAAACTAACCATCGTGGCTCTGACCCGACAAGCAAAAGGACTCTAAGGGCAAGACGTTTATGTATATCCCAATGCTCAATGGCTGCTGCAACGATCAAACCTCCAATAAATAAAGCTGTAGTGTCCTATTTGGAAAAATATGACACATTAACAACGATGTCCAAAAGTTTGTGGCAGCAACGCCCTTTTTTTATTTACATTTTAGAAATAATCTTTGTTAATTACGTAATCATTAAAAGTATATAAAAGTCATTTTGTAAACTTTTTGTAAAATTAAAGATTCATGTTTGAAATTTTTTAATCCTTTAACAAAGAATAGTTTTATTAAAATTTCCCTATAAACGATCAACAATCTCTTGTGTATATAAATTTAATAGTTATTTGTTAAAATTTTCACTGAAGTTAATGACACGTACATTGAGGTATGTTTTCGATACATCTTTTGCATACAGAAGTCCGACCATAGGAAATAGGATGATTGGTAGAAGTGCCGTAACAGAAATCGGCAGAGCTTCTGTTATCCAAAACACAGCCATTATGATTATCACGTATGCACATTTTGCTTCCTGCATAAAAAGTAAAAATAATTACTCTTATAATTCAAACCATGCTTTCATTTTTTCTTTTTCTGATAACTACAGAAAGTAAGTCGACAATCTCTTAAAGCTAACTAACATATAATTACTTTTGAATACTAATAGTTGTATTCTCTACGTACTGCAAAATCATTAGTTTCCGTCGGGGATAATTTGCCTTGTATGCCAAGTATAAAAAGATCCACAATTTCATGACCAAGTCGAAATATTTCCTATACATTCATTGAAATGCTCAATTACATTTTCTTAAACACGAAATCAAATTCTCCATTACACTATATGTATTTTTTTTTTTACTTTTTTTATTCTATATTTTTTTAAACTGATATTTTCTTTACAAATTAAAATAAGAGGTACGGTGAGCAATAAGCTCATTAAATGATTCCCCGCCACCCATACGAATATAATGGCAGTGTCAATGTTTTGCTGTAGGAAACCCAAAATATGTGTCAGGTCAAAGAGTAAAGTAGAAGGTGCAGAATTACATTATGTAATAAAGATTCTCTGAAAGTCTCATCAAATTTCAATCAGTGGTACACGTATAAGAGGAGTTGCGGATAAGAGATGGGTATATCCCAAACTGTACCTCACAGTACCTCTAGTTTACTTAATATACAAAGTTAAGATTTTTACATGTATTATACCATCCGATTGAAATGTGGGAGGTTAGTGATGTCCATCTGTCCGTCTGTCCCTTACACTTTGGGGTATCCATCTTTTATCCACAACTCCTCCTATACCACTAAATGAAATTTAATGAGACTTACACAGAATCTTTGTTACATAGTGCCATTCTGCACCTCTTATTTTATATTTTTGATCGGACAAATATTGCAGTTTTCTAATTGCAAAACATTATCACTGCCATACTTCCTATAATATTAAATGTTACCCTTTTCTAATCTAGCCTCCTAAACCTCTGAATAAAATTTAATATAATATATACTTTCATAGATTCTTTATTAAACAATGCCATTGTGCATCTCTTATTTTACTTTTTGATCTGACACTTTTTTCGGGGGATTTCTGAACGCAAAATATTGACTTTGCTATTATAATAGTATGGGAGGTGGGGGTATCATTTAGTTACCTCATAATCAGTGCTCACAATTACTATAGATTTCAGCTTTTTTATATATATATAGATAAAAGTTTATCGTTCATCCGTCCATAATATGGTATTTTCCTACATTTACTTCCCCTCGCTGTTCAAGGACAGAGAGAAGTTTGATGTGACATAATATTATACGATACTCTTAAGTCTGTCTGACAATTTCTTCATTCTTCTTCGAAATTCACAAAGATGTACGTCAATTTACAAAACTAAGGTGTAATAAAAATGACGCACTTTTAATGTTTTAAAATGTTTACCTGAAAAACCCGGACTTTACACACCTTCATGATGTAAAATAAGCATCGAAAAGTAGGGGTTCTTTTAGTTTTTATTATTTTTTAAACATTACTTTAATTTTGGAAAGGGTTTGTTTTACCTGAACAAGTTTCAACTTCCTGGATATATTTTAGGGTTAATGGAAAGATAAAAAATGGAATTATTCTGTATTGTAATTCTTCAGAAGTCAAAATACATGTACTATCAAAATCTCCTTTTTAAACATTCTCAGTCAGATTAAAATTTGATTTCAGCATAAACTATTCAATCATCATATTATAACTAGTTGTGAAAAAACTGTTTTCTGCTACCTGTTCTGTGCACTAGATATTTCATGGAGGTGTACGTGTACATTAAGTGACATCTTATCGACGTTGAACTCAAAAATGTAAACATGCAGACAGTTTCGCACCTTAGTATTAATATGTGGGTCAAGATTTTATCATCATAAATTTAACAAAACACATTATTATGCATCAGTGCATCAACAAAGATTCCTTGCTTTAATGTATTGTAAATTAACATACAGATCTGATTCACTTAGCCTAATTACAGCCATGTATCTAAAGGCAAAGATTTTTTAATGGCTCAACAATCGTTGATGAAATTGTACTTTGATAATTTTACATCTCTCGGATATTTTATATCTCTCAGTTGATTGGATACGCAAGATCATACTCAACGTATGAGCAATTTTTAAAACGAAGTATGTTATTGACAAACAATGCAATCTGCTGAAACCAGAATATGTCAGGTCCCGTTTCAAATCATTTTATAGATCTATGGTGGATAAAATGCCCTTGTCAGCAAATTTATCATTAAATTGCTGGGTGACGTTTTTCACACTAATTGATAGACCATTATTTACACACTGGATTGTCCATGGATTTTTTCTTTATTCCCCGATCATGACAAGGAGCTCACGAACGGGTGTGTGTGGGTGTGTGTGGGACCGGTCGGCAGGGGATGCTCACTCTTCCACTTCACCTGAACCCATCACTGTTTTTATCTGCAGGTCCGTGTTTGCTCTGCTCATAATTTGTGTTGTTTAATGGACCTTTGAGAGTGAATACTGTTCGTTATCTTCCTAGGTTCCATTATGTTTATATAGTCCAACATTTCAGTACATTTTTTAAGTTTTCGAAATGCAGTTTCCTTAAAGTATGCAAGTTACAATGATTTGGATGTCAGGAAAAATTACGAAAAGATTCACAAGGAGTTATATAGACTTTAAAGCTAACATATCCCCCAATCATACAAATCTCCCCATCTCCTCTCGAAAATCGGGGGGGGGGGGGGGGGGTGTACTGAAAGTTGGTCATGAGTTTAATATTTTAGATAAATGTAGATTTTTTCGAAGAATAAAAATAATGTATACAATGGATAAATATTGTTTAACATAATGTACACAAATGTCTTTAACTTTGAGACAAAATAAATGTACTTACGTTTCCTTCAACAAGAAGAATCAGTGGTAATAAAACAACTGGAGTTAATATGACGATGAATAAATTCCTAATACTTAGTAGTAATCTACAGAACGACTGACTCTCGGACGACATAACTGTTATTACTCACGTAAATTTCTTAAAAGTAAAAAAGGCAGGACTTCAAACGCAGATAAATTAAACTGTTTTGCATTATTCTATGCGTCAAGGTAAAGTTGAACCATGCGGTTTAAGAAAAAAAGATGTATCTGACAAGGTTAACAAAAGTATGTCAATAGAAGACGTCTTACTCTCACAAATATATGTTCATATCAAAATAGTGCATCTCTACCGCATGTATCATCGCCTTGTATGTACCTTACATTATGTCTCTCACCAGTGAAAAACACGCTAAGGTCAAGTTGCACTTATGCAGTGGATGGGTCCCTGCCTTCAAAATTTTAAGAATTTTTTGTCACGTGTTTTTATAACTCCATTCAAAATTCATAAATGAAGTGAATATGCTACTCTTATGCATTAATATTACCCTTCAATTGCTCTAATTGTCTCAAACACACATTTTCATTTTACAAAACTGAAACTTTTTTCATTGATATATATTAATGATTATAATTAAACACCTCAAAACCATATGCACTTTTCGGTATCTATTTAAAATTGAAACTATGCAATATAATATCAGCCTCTAGCGATGCCCAGAAACATCATTTACATTGACACTATCAAGCGTTAAAATTTGCTTTTCTTAATTTTATTTAAATATAAGTACTTAATTATAACATGTAATTAAAATTTCATTTACAACAGGGCATTCGATATTGAGCGATCGTATTCGAAAACTATATAAAATACACACTATAAGTTTTTTAAAAATGCCATTGTTATTGTCTTAAATTTTTTTAATCTTAAAAAGTTTTTGTATCCTCTACTTTCATAGACTGTTTACTGTAACTCCCTCCGCAAGTGAGAGGGTATTTATTGATCGATATATCCGTATGTCTGTCCGTCCGTCTGTTAAATTTTGGCGTACCCACTATTATCCGCAACTCCTCTTATACCACTGATAGAAATCTAACGAGAATCTTTTTTACGTAGTGCAGTATTGCACCTCCTATTTTACCTTGTATTTTAATCGTATTTCGTGTTTGCCATAGCAAAAAATGGATAATGCTACTCTTTGTAAATTATTGAAGGGTACACATGTACCATCTCTTATCCGCAACTCCTCCTATAACACTGAATAAAATTTAAGCATACTTTAACATATTCTTTTCAATTTGTTTACATAATGCCATATTGATTATGCATCTCCTATTTTACTTTTAGATCAGACACTGATTTCGTATCTCCCGGAGCAAAAAACAGACTTTGCCATTAAAATCATATGGGATGCAGAGGAACCATTTAGTGTGTATTTTGTGGCTCCTGGGTCGAGGGTTCTGGTGTAAGGGAGGGGCTCTATTGATTATATAGTGAAAATGCATTAATTCTTTAAAAATCTTTTTCTCGCTCCTGAGTATTAAACAAGCAAATTACATATATACAGTCAAGAAAAGTGCCTCTTCGAAAATTGTAAACTTCATGGCCCCAGGGTCAGGGGGTCTGGTGTTAGGATGGAACTTATTGATTATATTTAGTGGAAATGCATTGATTCTATGAAAATATTATTCTCTGCTCTTTGGCATTAAACAAACTAACTACAAACATAGGTCAGACGAGAAAGGTGCTTCCTCGAAAATTATAAATTTCATTGTCTCAGGGTCAGAGGTTCTAGTTCTGGCTCTATTAATTAGTGAAAATGCATAATTTTTTTTCAAATCTTCTCCTTCGCTCCTGGATATTGAGCAGATGCATATGTGTATATAATAACTAGGATGAGCAATAGTTCTCCTTGCAGAATTGTGAATTTCAAGCCTCTGGTTCAGGGGTACAGTATGGCGTTCTGGTATTAGGGCGGGGCTCTAATTACATGTACATGTATACACACTTTGCTGTAAATGAATTAATGCCTTGAAATAAGTTCCTTGGTATCAATCAAACATTTATGATAAGCAAGGGAACCTTTTCCAAAATTGTAAAATGTGTCGCTCCAGAGCCAGAGGTTCCTGTGGGGTGGGAGCTGATTAGTTGAAATGCATTTTTGTGTGCCCCCACTATGCTTATGGGTAATAAGTAACCAAACTAAGTTTTCTTAGTGTAAGTTATAATGAGCAATGTTGCCTCTTTCAAAAGTGTCAATGTCAAGGCCTCTGGGTTAAAATGTTTTTGCATGATGCTCAGGTGAACTATAAGGCCCATGTGCGTCTTGTTATTTTACTATTTAAAAATACAAAAAAAAAACAATATTATTGCAATATATTGCGTTCAGAGAATAATGGCTTTCTTATCTGCTACCATAAAAAGACTAGAGACGAGGTGAAAATTCCAATTATGTTTTTGTTTTTTTTGTTTTTTGCATTGGAGGATTCTAGGTCATATAATCATACCTGCAAGAAAAAATCTAATTTAGTTTGACATACGACATACATATTGTAACGTGTATATTTAATGTTCAAAATTTGCAATATATGTTGCTTCTATAAACACTGAACAATAATGAAGTTATAGTAAGTAATATTTATTGTATTTTTAACCAGGAAGAACATTTCATTTGATATTTAAGTCTCGAGTTATGAATTGCAACACTTTTATAGTCGTTGAAATTACTTTCTCGTCATACATATGTAAAAAAAAATACTCATATAAATTTCAGGAGTAATTATCTTCAATAATTAACTTTTAATCAGGTTGTTCCAGTCAATGGATTAACAGTTGATATTGATGTAGAATTGTTGAATAAGGTTAAAGTTTCATTGGATACTTTAAAAGCAGCAGGAAGTGTATGAAAACCAAATATTGCTTCTCCCCATACTTCCGTTCCAATGACCAAAATCAAAACAGCTATGATATTTAATGGAAATCCGGCGATTACCTATAAGTATTCAATTTTAAGGATTAAACAACTAATTCGTCAATTTTATTAAAAAGATATATTTTGTTAAACATGTAATATAAAAAGTGTCTTTCTTTAAAGAGAAAAGTAAATTATTTATTTTTGAATGCATATAATATTAAATTAGGTATACATGTATATCGCAATCTTACCATGTCCAATACCCTGACAAAGCCATAAGAAAAGACAACTGCATTAGGTGGAGTGGCTACAGGAAGCATGAAAGCAAATGATGTAGCAATGGCGGTAGGAAACATGAAGTAGAGTGGGTTTACCTCAAGTGTGATAGCCTAGTGAAAATAAATTCTGATCAATTCCTTCAAAAATTAACATGCTTGGTATCTTAAATTGTATTTAATATTTATTCTTACCGAAAATCTCCAGAGATCACTTACACAACTTTATCTTGTCTTCATTTCTTTTGAAATTATAACTGTGACTGATAGTATATATGTATTAAATAAAATAGCAATATGTAACTAGGAGACTTATTGTTCACGGAACAATAAGAGGTCTTTCCACCTTTGAATTTTTCAGTTTTGTTTTATATATGATTCCTTAAAATTAAATTCCATGAAAAAAACCCCAAAATTGCTTTAAAAGAAAGAAAAAATTTCTCATTTTTGGAATGACCTTGACCTTTGACCTTTACATGAATTTGAAGATCAAAGGTCAATGAATCATATGCAGTTGGTCCCATGTCTCTAGCACTTGTTTTTGAAAATTTTTAATTATTTGTAAAATTCAAAAAGTTTCAGGGGCAATAACTCTTTGAACGGGTCACCAAATGCTTTCGCAATGAATAGATTGAAGAGTCCCCTTAATTAGTCGAAGACATTGGTGAAGGTTTCATACCTCTATGGTTTACGGTTTTAGAGGAGTAGCGATAACAAGCATTTCTTGCGAAAGGGGCAATAACTTCAGAAGGGGTCAAGGTTCATTTAAGCAGGGTGAACTGCAATAATCTTTTACGGAGTACATTATTATGGACTATAAATCTTTTCGATAAATCTTCAAACAAAAAAATTTTGTTTATTTGACTCCTCAAAATTAAATTCCATGAATAGAAAAACCAAAACTGTCTTAACCGATAGAAAAAATTAAAATTTAAAAAAATTGAAATGACCTTGACCTTTGACCTTGAAAATTTTTCAAGGTCAAAGGTCAAGGGCACAATGCAATTGACCCCATGCTTCTACCACTTATAATTTTCAAGTTATAAGGTTTTATATTAAGTACAAAGAAGTTAAAGGGCGATAACTCATATAAGGGGTCATCAGATCCTTTTGCATTTTTACAATGAAGTTAGGCCTAAAGACCCTTAACACATTAGAGAAGGTTTGGTGTCTCTACGGTCTACGGTTTTGAAGTAGTAGCGATAACAAGGTTTTTCGCATAAGGGGCAATAACTTTCAATAGGGTCAATCTTCGGGGAGAAGAATGAAATCTTTGAAATAGATTTAAGAGAACATATTAAAAATGCAAAGACTGATTGTATATGTTAAAAGACAAAAGAGATATAAAAAGAGGTTGATTTCTCAATTTTTGAGTGACCTTGACCTTTGACCTTGCATAAATTTGAAGGTCAAAGGTCACTGAATCTAATGCAGTTGGTCCCATGTCTCTACGACTTGTCGTTTTGAAAATTTTTGATTATTTGTAATATTCAAAAAGTTTCAGGGGCAATAACTCATTGAAGGGGTCACCGAATGCTTTCGCAATGAATAGATTGAAGAGTCCCCATAATTTGGCAAAGCCATTGATAAAGGTTTCATACCTTTACGGTTTACGGTTTCAGAGGAGTAGTGATAACAAGGGTTTTTAGCACAAGGGGCAACAACTTTTTAAAGGGTCAATCTGAAGGGCCAAGATTTATATCTTCTAAAGAGTTTCAAAAGTACATATCAAAGACATAAGATAGATCGTATATGTTTAAGGACATAAGAGCTATTAAGAGAAATTTATTTCTCATATTTGGAATGACCTTGACCTTTGACCTTGAAATGAATTTGAAGGCAAAAGGTCATTGAATGTTATGCAGTTGGTTTCATGTCTCTACGACTTTTCGTTTTGAAAATTTTTAATTTTTTGTAAACTTTATAAACTTTCAGGGGCAGTTACTCATTGAAGGGGTCAAAGAAAACTTTCACAATGAATAGATTGAAAAGTCTCCTAAATTAGTTGAAGACAATGGTGAAGGTTTTATATCTCTACGGTTTACGGTTTCTGAGGAGTAGCGATAACAAGCTTAACGGTGAAAGGGCCAATAACTGCGTAAGGGGTCTAAGTTAAAACATGGGGGGTCATTTTTCGGAATAACTTTAAATATCCAGTATCATGAACTATAAATTTTTTTGATAAATCTTACGGTGTCAAAACATAAGGTGAGAAATAGAACTAGGAGACTTATTGTTCACAGAACAATAAGAGGTCTTTCCACCTTTTTTAATTTCTGATAGTTTTATATTTTACTCTCCAATCTAATTTTAAGGGAAATGGCTTAAAAAAAGAAAATGAAAATTTGAAAAAAAAAAAAAAAATTTGAAATGACCTTAACCTTTGACCTTGATCAGATCTTCAAGGTCAAAGGTCAAGGGTCACATTGCAATTGACCCCATGCCTCTACGACTTTTAGTTCTATAGTTATAAGTTTAAATATTAAGTGCAAAGAAGTTAAAGGGCAATAACTCATATAAAGGGTCATTAAATCCTTTAGTACTTATACAATGAAGGTGTGCCTAAAGACCCTTAAGACATTAGTGAAGAGTTCATGCCTCTACGGTCTACAGTTTTGAAGTTGTAGCGATAACAATGTTTTTCGCATAAGGGGCAATAACTTTTGATAAGGTCAATCTTGGGGAACAAAAATGAAATCTTTGTAATAGTTTTAAGAGTACATATTAATGATGCAGAGACTGTTTGCATATGTTAAAAGACAAAAGAGATATAAAAAGAGCTTAATTTCTAATTTTTGGAATGACCTTGACCTTTGATCTTGACAAAATATTCAAGGTCAAGGGTCACAATGCAATTGACCCCATGCTTCTACCATTTATAGTTTTCAAGATACAAGGTTTAATAGTAAGTATAAAGAAGTTAAAGGGCAATAACTCATATAAGGGGTCATCAGATTCTTTTGCACTTATACAGTGAAGTTAGGTCTAAAGACCCTTAAGATATTAGTGAAGGTTTGGTGTCTCTAGGGTCTACAGTTTCGGAGGAGTAGCGATAACAAGGTTTTTCGCACAAGGGGCAATAACTTTTAAAAGGTTTTATCTTAGGGGACAAGAATGAAATCTTTGAAACAGTTTTAAGAGTACATATTAACGATGCATTGACATTAAGTATATGCTGAAAGACAAAAGAGATACAAAGAAAGCTAATTTTCTCATTTTTGGAATGACCTTGACCTTTGACCTTTACATGAATTTTAAGGTCAAAGGTCAATAAATCTTATGCAGTTGGTCCCATGTCTCTACGACTTCTTGTTTTGAAATTTTTTAATTATTTGTAAAATTCAAAAAGTTTCAGGGGCAATAATTCATTGAAGGGGTCTCTGAATACTTTCGCAATGAATAGATTGAAGAGTCCCCTTAATTAGTTGAAGACATTGATGAAGGTTTCAAACCTCTATGGTTTACGGTTTCTGAGGAGTAGTGATAACAAGCATTTCTTGCAAAAGGGGCAATAACTTCGAAAGGGGTCAAAGATCAAATATGGGGGGTCATTTTTCGGAATAACTTTTAATATCCAATATCATAAACTATAAAGTTTTTCGATAAGTCTTATGGTTTCAAAACATCTCCAGAAATAAAATAATAATAAACAGAAGCATTTCAAGAGGTCTTTCCACAGAAAGGTGGAAAGACCTAATAATAAAAAACACTAGGAGACATTGTTCACAGAACAATAAGAGGTCTTTCCACCTTTTTAAATTTCTTATAGTTTAATATTTAACTCTCCAATTTAATTTTAAGGGAAATGGCTTAAAAAAAAATGAAAATTTAAAAAAAAAAAAAAATTGAAATGACCTTGACCTTTGACCTTGATCAGATCTTCAAGGTCAAAGGTCAAGGGTCACATTGCAATTGACCCCATGCCTCTACAACTTTAAGTTCTATAGTTATAAGTTTAAATATTAAGTGCAAAGAAGTTTAAGGGCAATAACTCATATAAAGGGTCATTAAATCCTTTAGTACTTTTACAATGAAGGTGTGCCTAAAGACCCTTAAGACATTAGTGAAGAGTTCATGCCTCTACGGTCTACAGTTTTGAAGTTGTAGCGATAACAATGTTTTTCGCATAAGGGGCAATAACTTTTGATAGGGTCAATCTTGGGGAACAAAAATGAAATCTTTGAAATAGTTTTAAGAGTACATATTAATGATGCAAAGACTGTTTGCATATGTTAAAAGACAAAAGAGATATAAAAAGAGCTTAATTTCTAATTTTTGGAATGACCTTGACCTTTGATCTTGACAAAATATTCAAGGTCAAAGGTCAAGGGTCACAATGCAATTGACCCCATGCTTCTACCATTTATAGTTTTCAAGATACAAGGTTTAATAGTAAGTATAAATAAGTTAAAGGGCAATAACTCATATAAGGGGTCATCAGATTCTTTGCACTTATACAGTGAAGTTAGGTCTAAAGACCCTTAAGATATTAGTGAAGGTTTGGTGTAGCTAGGGTCTACAGTTTCGGAGGAGTAGCGATAACAAGGTTTTTCGCACAAGGGGCAATAACTTTTAAAAGGTTTTATCTTAGGGGACAAGAATGAAATCTTTGAAACAGTTTTAAGAGTACATATTAATGATGCATTGACATTAAGTATATGTTGAAAGACAAAAGAGATACAAAAAAAGCTAATTTTCTCATTTTTGGAATGACCTTGACCTTTGACCTTTACATGAATTTTAAGGTCAAAGGTCAATGAATCTTATGCAGTTGGTCCCATGTCTCTATGACGTTTTGTTTTGAAATTTTTTAAATATTTGTAAAATTCAAAAAGTTTCAGGGGCAATAACTCATTGAAGGGGTCACCGAATACTTTCGCAATGAATAGATTGAAGAGTCCCCATAATTAGTCGAAGACATTCGTAAAGGTTTCATACCTCTGCGGTTTACGGTTTCTGAGGAGTAGCGATAACAAGCATTTCTTGTAAAAGGGGCAATAACTTCGAAAGCGGTCAAGGTTCATTTACGCAGGGTCAACTGCAAACATCTTTTACGAAGTACATTCTTATAGACTATAAATCTTTTCGATAAATCTAGAAACAAAAAATCACAC